CCTGAATTACGCTTAAGACGTAATGTTGTGTAAAGCAGGGAATGCTACATTCTCTGCTTTACACATTTTTTTTTACATAATCCGAATGTGGTCAACTATGTTACATGACTAACTGACTGACGTCTAGAAAATCTGTTAGTTCGTAACTTAGTATGTGATTGTATGTCCGGTTCAGAGATGCGCTTTTTTTTTTTGTAACTTATGCTTTACTATAAGCTGAAATATCTAACAAATAGCAACGGCTGATGGAAAACATTTGTATGGTTTCAGCTCAACCTCGAATCCGCCCATACATTTTCTACAACAATGTGGTTAGATTAGGTAAACTAGGCGATTCCTCGTAATATATACACCATACACTATGATTTAGAGCTGACTGATAACTGACGCGCACGTAAAGCCGTGGTGTGGAAAATAGAGATAGCCAATTCTGATTTGTGATACTGTTGAACAACCCCTTCCCAGGCTTACGGATCTACTTTAGACAATTTAGTTTTATATAATTGTGCACTGCACGATGCATAATAGGTACCACACATTGAAAATCGTCTTTTGCTTCCTTTTCCATTTTGCGGTATGAAAAGATACGGGTGAGTATCCCTGTAAACCCTAGCCTATATGAAATGTGTTAAATGCTTCCGACAGCTACAAGCTCAGCCAAAGCTGCTTGCACGTTCACTTTTATTTGTTTGGATTCATTCCCCTATGCCAACAGCACGTGTTGATGCGTGTCAAAAGATTACGAGTATTGCTGAAGTTCTTCAAAGAAATTTAATAAATTGTCGAAATGTCGAAACCACAAAGGAAAGAATAACATTGTATATATATTAGACTGTGAATTTAGCTACGCGCCGTTAGCAGACGAAATTTTTTTAGAAACTTATGAGTGGAAATCCGTTAGGTTTACTACAAAAGAAGCGGGCCTAAGAGAAAATATTCTTTAATTACGAATTCAACACTTGGTGGTCAGTTTTTGGTTTTCGAAGACCACAGGGCCGCGAAAATTGATTGAAGGTTGGTGAAGACATTAGGCAACAAAACCTTAAGCAAAGGCGCGGTTAATTTATGGTGTAAACATTGCTATGACGGAGACTGGAATGTTGAAGGCCAGCTAGGAAGCAAGCAGATGTCGAGACGCGGAATGATAAAAACAAATTGTCGCAGATGAGAAAAACAAAGCCTAGCGTCTGGAGGCCTTGTCGGCCAAAGCTGACCGTTCACATGTAACGTGTTGCAGAATTATAACCAAAATACCAAAATACGGAAACTATATATATATATATATATATCATTTTTTCTTTTTGTAAATAAATTTATTATAAAGAAATATTAATGAATAATAAAAAACCCGCTCGGAGTATATGGTAGCCATAGACGCAAATAATTCAATTTCTACTGTAGGTTCGGGTAGTAACGTGAAAAACATTTGCTATCCATGTTGCCGAGAATGCACGACATTTTAGGGTCCTCAGCAGACTCGTGCGCCACTGATCTAAAAAAGCGTCGTACTGCGGTTACTCGGTGACAATAGCAGATCCCATTGGCAAGCTTTCATTAATTAGCATATGGATCGAACGTTGGCTTCAACTCGCTTATGAGTTCGATCCAGGTAAGTGTGGAGCTTTTCATGGCTGGATCAACAATCACTATCCATCTCAATAGGGCGAAGTCGTAGATAGATTATTATTAGAATTCTTAATTTCACAGTCTCTCTGTCAGTCGCGAGACAGTTATTGGATACGCTAAAAGTAATGCCGAAAATTTAGCCGTCAGTACACGGTGTTTCATTCGAACCAATGTAACGATGGCGACATACATATATAGCCCTATAATTCTATCGTCCTATACATAGGTTCTAACATAGGCGCATAGGCGTTCGGTTTGGCATTAAACGCATCCGTTCTGTAGGGCAAGCTCAGTGAGCCGCAGTTGGTCAGCTGCGTATTTTTCTATACTGATAGACGCCTCGAAAAGCTGCCAGTTCCCCGGGGGTTCGCCCGACAAAGATGAAAACACAAATCCGGCCAGGAAAATTCTGGTAGTGGTTCTATCGGCAATTCTCATCTAATGTTGGCAGGAAATTTCTACTTTACTCTGCCCATTCGTTGCATCTTTCTCACAGTTTGTGTTGTTTATTAGATATCAAAGTATTGCAACAAACGAATGATGGCTAGACTTATACATAAGGTTGCGGGATGGCTGAAAGACAGAAAATACTCGTTGAAGCCGTTAACGAGTAAATTGACAAGGGAGAACGAGATATATCGGTTCATTTGCAAATTTGCCTCAAAGAATAGTAATCTATTGACGGAAATCAAAGATGATCGTTCCCAAATTTCGACTGCTGATGTTTGAAAAGATAAACCTTGTTTATCTTTAAAATGCATATTATATTCGTTAGAAAAGTTGCCTGGAAATGACATAGATTTGTTAAGTTATTGTTCTCGATCTCTAGTCGTATATCTATATTTCTAATAGCTCGTTTATTAAATATAGTCGTCTACTGGTGATTTCAGCGCAAACACAATGAATTCACTCTATTGTTTATCTTTCAATTTTTTTAGGTTTCGTTTGATTTCGAAGAAACAAAAAACTCGAGCGTTAGAGATATTAAAGAAAAGGTCGATCGAAGAGAAGAACAACAATCCACAGATGACACCTCACCGCTTGAGGACTTTTAATAATAAGATTCTACGTACTGGTCAGTATTTGCGTCTAATCGTTTCGAAAAGCAATACGCATTAAACACTAGATACTCTACTCTATATATCTAGTAAAGTGAACTTGGTTGGCTAGTGTTTAGCATTAAGTAGTTTCGAAAAAATCGTACGGAAAAGTCCATCCACTGGCCATTCTCAATAGCAGAAGCAAGTCTACATTCTGACAAAGGGCCCACCCACTTCAAAGAACGCTCACACATACTGGAACATGATGTAATAATGAAAAAAATCATGGTATCTATAGCGTTGACAATTATAATGATAATCGAATGATTGCTTTGAAAACTGTGCTTAAGCAATATTAAATCACCTGAACGATAGACAGGGAGAACGATAGTAGAAAACGGATTGCGCTATAGCTTACAATCAGACCACTATCGGCGTTTAAACGCTCAGTATCAACATTCAGCCTACTGATGCGATTGAACTTGACCGGTACTAATCGCAAGGCCCTGCTCAGGGTTTTAAGAGCTTGACAAGTTCGAGTCGGCCTGTAAAGGTCACAGTTAATTTTTTGTCCAGTTTCAATCGGGACCAGTAATAATAGTAATAGAAAAATAACTGTACTCGAACGATTATATGTTCAGCGTGGATTTTTTTTCATCTGAGAAGTAGCTAATCAAGATCGTAACAACTAATAACACGGACTCGTACACATACACGGACGTATGGTGGTCGAGGTTTTGAGCACATTCTATTTTGTGCAGGAAGCAGACGAAGGAAAAACTAGAGCTGTCTTATTTTAGACGTATCCATATGTGAAGATCAGAATGTGATGTTATTCGAGAACATATTATATGGAGATCTTCTATTTGTGGGTGCCATAATACGATTTTGACTATTGGCGTTAGCCGCTGGTAAAAATCACTGATGCACGACCATTTACTTAACCGATTTTATTAAACGGAACATTTGTGACTGTCTACATAGAATTGTTTGACAGTCGTGGAAATACTACAGTTAACAACTTGTCGGCTATAGCTTTTTAGCTAGTATTAAAACAGGTGTTCGGCGAGCGTAAGTTAGCAAATTTTAAGTGCATTTGTTATTCTATCGATTGTTCGTATTTCAGCTCGTAGTAGAGATTTGCAGAACTTATTTCATCACTTATATCACTCAAAATTGTTTTCAAACGACGCTTGTAGATTGAAAATATAGAATCAGCAGTGGCGCTTCATTTAAGGCCGATATCTGGCGCGCAAGCTGCAGGATTTCGCATAAATCTTTCCATCAAAAGACATTTACTAGGACAAAAAAGAACAAGGGAACAAGGGATGATAGTCTGTGACTTGTAGCCCTTGGCTAGCATCCTGAATACGTAAGCGACTATTTAGTAAGTGCGCAAATTTTCAATACATTTCTTTTGAATTAAATTCACGGCTAACTGAGGCATCGAATGTAGACTACATACAGAATCTAAGGTCATTATGAACTATATAATCCTGAAGTGCCTTTTTGCTCAAAGTGGCGATTTTATCTAATGCTTAAATCTAGCAACTCTAGTTGCAGCAGAAGAACTGTGTCAACAAAAGCTTTCGGCATATCCCGCAGAGCCAAACTTACTTGAGCACGTCATTACGGGTAATCAGACATGGGTTACAGCTGCAACGAGGAGACCAGGACGCAATTTCCCTAGTATCGATTCATAAAGGAATTTCGACCAAAGAAAGACACACGATCGGAATCTAGAACTAAGGCGGCCCTTACAATTTTTTTCTATTTATCGAAGGGTTATTCATCATAGGTTTTACGCGTGTAGCTCCAAAGTTACTAAGAAATACTGTGAATAATTTATGCAACATTTAGCGAGTCTGCCCGATGTCAAAGGCCATAGATGCTCCACAATTAGTCTTCGAGCCTCTGTGATGACAGTGCACTGGCCCACTCACTGCTAGCTAAATAGCAGTTCTTACCCTAACTACTGTATCTATGGGACTCGATTCTTTGCGGCTTTCTCCTCTTTCCAAAACTAAGATGCAGTCTGAAGAGGAAGTGTTTCGACGTGATAGAAGAAACAAAGGAAGATTCGCTGACCGAGCTGAGGACTCTCCCGATAATTAAATTCGAAACACGTTTTGAGGACGAGAAAAACAGTGGCATGCACATATTGCATTCGGTAGAAATCACCTCAAAGGGGTAACTGGTATTGGGGCAATTAAAGAACTACTTATCAAACGAGTCATTCGTTTCTGAAGAATGACTCACAACGTCAACAAGGTAACAATACACATACTATCGTTACGTATTCTACAAGAGCTAGTTAATTGGCACCCTGTCATATTCATATGGACAACTTTGCATTTTTATTGCGTTTTTTTTTCTATGCGGAACATTTTTTGAGACTAAAGGGCGCGTATTGATTTCTGGTAAACGCTGTGTAACACCGTAAAGAAATAAATCAACGATTTCACATGAAGCATAGCCTTGTTTACTGAAGATATATTCTTTCTGATTTGATCTTACTCGTTGACGGATAATATAGGTAGGTATTGTCGAGATGTCTTCATACGAGTCTCATTTTTGAACAGCTCTACGTTAATTATTTAGACACTTCATATTTGTTTTGTCAGTAACGCACACATCAATTTTTGTTGATTGTCGAAGAACGCATCTTCCGGCGAACCGAATCGGAGTGAAACTCGAATAACAGCAACGGTCTGATCTGGGCGATTCCTTATTCCCATAAAAAGTTGCGAGGATCCAAAGTCTCACTAAATTGAAAATATTAAACGCAACAAAGTGAACCTAAAATCGGCCCCACTTGTCATAAGCTACACGTTTTTACCATAACCATTTTACGTTATATTATTATTTGTCAACCATTAATTTTGAGTATATCGCGTATATGCGTGTGCTAAAGATTGTTAGCGCCGTGGGAAGCAAACGTACGCAATTTATGTGATAAAAACAAAGTATAATCTTAAATTAAAAATGACTCAGTTGTGCATGTAAAAGTTAATCATTACAGGCTCAAATGTAAACATCCTAAATGCATCCGAATGTTATCGCAGAATCGGATATATCACAATTCTGTGCGTTAGCAGCGATTATATATATATATATATATATATATATATATAACACGACGCGTGCTTAAACAATGATAGTCATCAGCAAAAAAAAACTGAATTCTATCTAAAAATTACACACTGCGTCTTTTAAAAAACGGCATACTTCATTTAAACATATCCAGCTAACAGCCAAGATGTTGAATCTAAACCTATCCTACACAATAACCTATAATAGACCTGTAATAGCTATTACATTGGCCAGGTAAGTTGTTTTAGTTAGAACCTGGATACTATCGATATTTCTCCAGTAATACTCACGCGTCGTCTTTGCTACCTTGTATTCTTAAGATCGACTTGCCTTTCCATACAAGCTCAGATAGCGACATCCCTCTACACGTAACTCTCCCGTGTCTCCATACGGCGCTCGGTGATCAAATGAAATGCGTGCCATCACCATGGATTGGATGGGTGTACCCCTTTTCATTTTCACTTTACAATTGCTATTGCAAAGACCGCTCAGCACGTCGATTCCAAGTACGCTCCGTTGCCTGCCTGCCTGCCTACCATATGGTCGAATCGAACAAAGCTAGGTATAAAAACTACTTATCGATTATTAAATTTAAATTTAAATTTAGTTTACATTGCTTGCGTTGAGACAGTCGGGTTGCCAATCTGTTAGGCTTTGTTGACAAGTATTTTACACGGTTAGCATGCCAGACCACCCTTGTTATAGGTCCAAGATACATGCGACCATATACTTTTCTCTCTTACCAATCCTCTTTCTTGTGTTCGAAAAATAGAAATCGAACGAACTTTGTCGAGATTGCTTTCTTTTACGCCAGATAGCGCCACTTACTCAGAACCGGCGTAGTACGCATGTGCGAACTCGTCGAGGGATGTTCGATAACGATGTGGGCCAAAGGACTTCCTGCAAATCTAAACGGGTCCATCCATCAATGAGTGAGATAGGGGAAAGAGGAAGAGAAGCACAGAGCCGCCCAAAAGGCTTAGCTCGCGGCGACGGCGCTAATGTCGAGCAGTAAATGAAAACGTAACGTGGAGAGTGTACACAGGTAGGGCCGCCCCTATGAATGCACCACGAACGCCACCATCACAGCCACCTTAGTGATAGGGCGAGTTCGATGGTTTCTTCTCTCTCTCTTTCACTTTCTCTCTGCCTCTCTCTCATCGTAGACGTTCGCTTCCTTAAGTGGGTAGTTAGTACTTATCTAGGTCAACGTAAAATGGATGTAGAGGTCTGGCGACTGGATTGTTCGAAAAGCAAGGACTCATGCTGTCATGATATAGTCGATACTCATAGGGGAAATCGTCCGTAGTCTCTTTCCAGAGCGAGAGCGATCTGGTATTTTTCGAGGCAAAGCTAGGGAAGAGAAAATAAACAGTCAGTGAGAACCGCCGTGAAGTGAGGGAAAACAATCGAGACAACTGCAGGACGCCAAAATAAGTGGTAGGATAGCTATTGGTTTTTGGTTAATTAACTATCCATTTGACTCTAGATGATTACGAACAAAGTGAGCAAGTGCTAAAGACATGTGATGTTATGGTTAGTATGGCTGTTTGTTTATAATGTATCAGTTTGGTTTGGTAAACGAATTGTAGGAAATAGTGTTATTTCTTTCGAGAAATTAGGTATTATATAACTAATCATTTTCATGTGTGAAAATCGTACATCTTCCAGATTTTCGGTGAGCTTCAAATTTTCAGAATGACCTTTTTGGTGCTACACCGCCAAAGCAGCTCTGTTTTAATGCTTTTTAACGACCTTAGTTTAAATGCTCGTCTCGTTATTTCAAACCAAACAGTGCAACACATGTAATAGGCTAACAGAACTTTTGTTTACTCCTATTAAACTGTTACCGATTTTCGTATGATAATGCTTGTGTCGGGACACTTTGATAAAGGTGCTATTTTTCGTTGTCAAGCACGGGGCAGCATATGACTCTGCTTGTCGTTTATCTTGTAAACTCCAAAAAGCTTTTGTGATTGGACTTTTTTTTTGCATAATCATGACAGACATGCGATACGATTGAAGAGATCAACTCACGTTACTTTGCAGATAGTGACGCGCACGTTACACGTACAGCCCACTGTTGATGGATGTGCCAATATATAATCGTTACAAGATGAAGTAGCTCATGTGTTGTCGGACGGACCTAATGCCATACAATCCCAGCCTTACGCTAACCAAATCTGTGCGCATCATTTATACTGTACTATCGCTTTAAGTGATATATATATATATATATAGGCTTTGAGCCGAAATCGGACCAATCTTTTTTATATCTTAATATGGGTAAACTAAATGTATGCAATTTTATCGATAGCCTTCTTTGCTAGTCCCACCATAGACTTATCATCGTAGAACTTTTACGGCTTCCGGGTGAAAAATTATGGTAAGTGATCCCTTTATTAAAACTAAATGAACGCTAATAAGGGAGTTCTGCTGAGACCGTCTGGGTCGTCTGAGGTCGTCTGTTTGCGCAGGACTCATACAATACGGAGAATGAGTAGAAATGTCCTATCCACGTTCTGTCAGTTTACACATATGGGTGATTTACATATACAGTTTTGACGACTATACATATATGTGATACTGTCATGATGGACAACGACGCACTTCTGTTTATTAATTTCGCATTTTTTCAATGGTTTATTGTAAGCTTGTTTGTTATTGACACTAGAAGTCCGAATCGCTGGGAGGCAGCAACATATTATAATACGTAACGTGTTTCCCATCCCATTAAACACACAACATTATTCCTTTGGCTCTGTCAAAATTTCATAGTATTTGTTTGTCTATTACTGTAAATTTTATCATCCGTGATTAATTGCTTCTCTAATGGCTTGATTTCGCTGCCTTCCTGCGGAGTTTCGCAGTAGAAATTACGATCGAGTAAATTTTTCTACGCCAATCCGTGTAGCACCAAAAACCGGACTTATTTTTGTGCCAGCCTTTTCAAATGGCTTTAAACTGTTTGGTGGTAAATATTTAGTTCCTTATCGATGTCATGGCATGATTTCATCAATTTTTGTCGTAATTGGTCAACTAATACAAAAAGCATCGTTCACATCAAAATTTCCGGAAGGAAAGCAACACATCTTCAAGCCATTCCCCATAACGCCATAATCGTGGCCATAGACAACATACATTTTTATAGGCCTGGGCAGCATTTATCTTTTTATATATATGTGAATATTTAGAATACTTTATTTAGACATAAGATAGAATGATGCAATAAATTTAATAATTAGTTAATTTAAAATAAAGGAAGTCGCCATGTATTTACGAATTTTATTTCGGTAAAGGCACAAATGCTGTCCAGACCCGTAAAAATTAGTGTTAACTATGGCCAAGGTTATGGCATTATGAGAAATGGCTTGAAGATGGTTACGTCGCTTTCACTCTCGAAATTTCGATGAAAATGACTCTTTCAAGCGGAAACATGGCAATGCAAGCCACAGTATTGACGTTGATACAATTTATGCAGAGTTAACCAATGGGCTTATTTTTCAACTAAAAACCTTCTTCTCACAAGTAGTTGGAGTATACGGAAAAATTTATAAATCGTCTCATGTTGCTGTCGATTTCCCGGTTTAATTTCTGCTTTGGCAAGCTAGAAGACTAATGTGTATTGACCATGTGATCTTCCAGTTCCGAGATAGTCGGCGTTAAACATATGGAAATCGCGTCGTCTCGTAGCCGTTTTAATGTAGGTGATTCCGCCTACAAAAGTCTAGCACCGACAGTCGTCGCACAGATGCTATAAAAAGTTTCCAGAGAAAATTTACTTTTCTTAGTACTTATACGTTGAAAAATATTTCGGTTGGGCTACGTAAATAAATGGCGTCCATTACTCTCAGACCTGACACTGAAAGTCTGGGGGCAATAGCTGGTCAATCCAGCCCAACGACAGCAAAAAAAGCTCGTATCAAATTTACCCCTTACCGAAATAATACACCTGTTGAGGAGCTCCGACGAAAACAATTAGAGCTACAATCGCCTGACCATCTAAATGCTGTGATGCTATTATCTTCTTCAATAAACAGTGAAGCTGACCGTGGTAATTGTAAAGATATTGTTCTTCCATATCTCCAAGATATCCAAGATGGAGCCGCGAAACGAATTTGCCATAAAAAGAAAGAGAGTTTAAAGTCCAGCACGGCTGAACACCATGACGCAAAACATACACCAATCACCGTGACCACCAGCAACGGACCTTCAGATACGTCAGATAGCTTCTCTCGGCTAAAACCTGAAAAGAAGCATTATTTACATTTACCTTACTCAAGGAATAGCATATTAGATCTTTACCGGTGGCAGTGTGCTCGCAAAGAAAAAATACGACTTATGGCAAGACGGAAACGAAAAGAAAATGCGCAAACAGATTCTGGTGCCTTAATTCAAATCGAATCGGACGTAAATTCTCATAGAGAAAGCAATGTTCGGACTACCCAAGACAGACTGCCATCAACGGAGCGAGCTGATGCAATCATTCAAGCCCCTGCTTCGAGAAATCTGTTTATAGCGAATACCTTTGGTACACACGATACCAACGTTAATCGCACTAACCTTGTCATCAATGGGACTTTTAGGAGAAAGGATGTTAAAGTTACATCGGTTGAGTCATCACCAGCTGAAACACCCAAGCCTCGATCCGTGAAGTCCCCTTCTTTTGCGATGACGACCCAACCCCAGTATGGCACCTCGTGTTCCTATCAGCTGTCGGCCTATAAATTATCTTGCACCCGAAACCGAGAGAAGCCAAAGAAGTTGAAGAGCGTCGCGCTACAACGTGAAGTCTATGACGGTAAACTTGTAACTTATTCAAAAGCGTTGAAACCTCAGCCAGTTTCACCGTTGAAAGTCGCGCGAGTCATCACGTATAAGCCGGCTATAGCAGCTGCTAGTAACAAAGGAAATTCTGAGTCTGGAGCTAAAACAGGTCCACAGGCAGGAGAAGTAGACAGGTCAGACAGGGAAACCCCTGTTCAGGCACAAACTGCACGGGAAAGTCAGAATTCGCAACAGAATCGAGCGATTGACCTTCCCAAATATTCGGTAGAGGACGATTGCGTTCAAAAGGTGATGGCTACTAAGAAGAAGCAAGATATAAGTGATGTATCGCTAAGCGATACACCTCCTTGTCTGAAGAAATTATCGAGTAATTTCATCCCCCCCGAAGTGCTCACAGCAATAACAACTAAATCGGCAATTGATGGTCATAAGATGAACATTGCAGACTTACGTAGCAAAACTTTGATTGAAACGCAAGGCAAACCTTATGGAGCTAATTTGGCTGAGGGAATTGTCCCGAAAGACTCGGCTGCATTTACAAGCCCAACAGTTAACCCACGGCTACATTTAGAGAATAAAAAAGCAACGCGCTGTATTTCCGTAAGCTGGTCACAGAAGGCGGAGGAACCCGTTGTCAGCCCTACTATTAGTCAATCATCCCCGACGAAGGCACCAAACATTTTCGTCTCCCCAACGTCCATTGGAAGTCATTTTCGTCCGCTGATTATAAGCAATAATCGAACTATACTTCTTAATGAGGCCACTGTTTCCAATCTAACGAGCAGCCAGCCTTTACCTATAGCCAACGTTCAGCAGGGTTCTACATCTTACAGAAGACCGGTACTTATCTCGACCTCACGTCCACCATCAGTTGAGACCTCAAGCGAGCTTTACGCGGGAATTTTGAGTGGCAGCACTACAATTTTTTCCTCAATTGGGGAACAAATAATAGTGAATCCGCCACCAACCGTTGCAACTTACGTGCCTTCCATAGCAACACTATTACCAGCCATAGGATTAACTGATCTGGCTCGAAGCTGTGTCCTCTTACCGGTTTCGAATTGTCCAAATGCGACAACCTCAGACGCGCCAGGCAATCCGGTGCCATTGTTTTCGACACAGATAATCCAGAGCTCTCCTTCCCCCAACTGTGCGCAGTCCGTGCAGCATTCGTCAGTTCCGCTTAACTCTTCAGAGAAAGTCGACCAGACCATATATCATTTCCCACACGGTTATTCCCTGTGAAAAGCTACGACAAATACTGTAGATAACTTACAAGCTTAATATGCCAAGCTATGATCAGTTATACAAGATGAATACAGAATTATAGGACGCAAAAAAAAGCGCCGTAGTGATACCAGTCGATATTAAGTTGAATAATTTATTGTTCTCCTAGGTATTACATGGTAAACCTATTGGTAATAAAAATGACATGAAGGTCAGCGGTGCCTGTTGTAGCAATGATGATTAGAAACTTCTTTCAACACTGTTGTTTTGCCTGGCGAAACGCGACTCAAATGCAAACGGCGTTGTTCAAGCTAAATGATCTAATATGTAACAATGTAAATAGTTGCAAGGCGTGTAGAATCGAAAAAGGCGTAGATCGATATCATGGATCAAAATTTGTGGTATCAGTCGTAATTGAGGTGCGAACAGACGCCCAGAACACAATCAAATCAAATAGAAATATATGGTCCTCAATTCAGATATATTGTTTTTCTTTTCTGCATACATCAGACGATGATACTTTCGTCTATTATCTCTTACCTAAATAATAAAAGATAAAATGCAATAAAGCTAAAGTTGAAGATACGAAGCTCATGTACTTCATTAGTGTATAAAGGTATGTTTCTTTGTTTCACATAAAGCATGTATGCAACGATTGAAATAAGTTAGGGATTAGGAAGCTATAACAGGTAAGAGTGACTGCGAACAAACTCGTATTCTGCACTGATCCGAGTTAGCCGTGACGAAAACATACGGCAGGCTGTCCACGGTGCTACTTCACAATGTAACAAACACAGATGTTTTGAACCTTATCTCCGGTACTATTGCCGCTCAACGTTGGTGTGTGCACGCGCGTGCACGCAAGTCCATGCCTGGTTTCGAAACTTAACCAATGTACAAATACATTGTCACTTTGCTATTAAGAGGGCATCACGCTATTCAGTGAATACGAACCGATTTAAAAATGCAATAACTGAACCATAGAAGCTGTCAGCGTTAGTCGTCTGTACTCATTTGTCATAACTGACTAAACACATAGGCGCTGTCCGTTACCAGTCCTACGTTTATATTCACGAGAAGGGAGCGTGATTACTTATTCAATTGATTAAAGTTTTCCTGTCACAAAACGAGATACAATACAGCCATTTTTCGCAGGAAGCCGCTGTTACACAAGTATCCGTTTACTATTTGCTACCTCGAAGTGCGTGTGTAGAAGGCAAGCTCCGTCTCAAGGTCTGAATTCAAGTTAACGAGTTCAAACGACTTACTAAATTGCATTGTGGAAGTGGTATTCCTGTTTTGTTGTGTGCGTATAGGTTTTGTGCATAATGTGCATGGTACTCACCTGTACAAACCTGTCACTTTCGAAAATGGCGCTCTCTCTCTCTCTCTCTTTCTATATATATATATCGATAAGCTTCTAGATGGGATCTAGCTGCTATATAATGGCTTTCGTCTCACAATAAAATGTGCGAAATACTACTTAATCAACTAGAAATAGAACGTTCTATGCAACGATAGTTACAGTGCAAAAGATTAATATTTAGCCTAGCTAAAAGAGACCTTCATTGCACATTGGGGCGCTGTATTGCATTAGGTCATAGAAACCCCTTTTCAGGACAAGCGTTTCGCCCTCCAGTAACTTCGAGCCGATGGTTTGTGAACTTATAATTTCAGAGACAAAACGATTGGAATTATAAGCGACATCTTCGCGGACATACTTTATCATGAAAAATGAATTCATTCATACATCTTAAAGGACGTAGCCGTTTTCGTTACAAAAAACGACACGCCTATCTCTAGAGATAAGTTCGCCTTATCTGTTTATTTTATTAATCACTTGTTTTTTGTTTCGTTTATAATTTACCTTAAAAAAAATTTAAAATTATTTCAGTTTATGTAGGAGCTAGGGAGTTCGTGATCTGCACGACCTGATGCGTTCCTACTGACCTTTCGAGTCTTAGTTGTTTACTCGAACATTTAATCAATTTACTTCAGCACGAAATACTCACCAGTATATTTTTGCTCCATGTGGTTTTTCAAATCTAGTTTCGTAGCTGGTTTTTGACTGTTGTTCAAGTTAAAGAATATGACCATTAGAGAGGAGTGAACAATATATATTTACACGATATAGTTTTCATCCAAATTAAACCTAACTCTCTCTGGGCCTTTTTGTTCGCGCGTGAATGTGGCTTAGCCGGCTAACACACAGTGCCATAATGTCATTAATTTGAAAAGGCATAAACAGACACTGGAAAAAAAGAAAATTGGAAAGCAAAATATCTAAGAAGACTACTGGTAACAAAATTAAAATAGGAAACTCTCGATGGAATTGGAAAAAGTTACTAGTTTCCTTGGATAACTCACGACCTTTTTAGAGAAATCAGTGCTCTTTATTTAGGTATAATAACGAAATTGAATTAACATGCAAATGTGTAGCGAACAGATTACTCACTAAGTGGTGTTATGTTTAAAACGGACAAGAGGCCTTGACAGGATAAATAACGTCTCCTGTAAGTAAAACAGACGTCCGTACGTGGATCCTCAAGTGAACTTAAGTTTTATTATAGCACAACATATGCCTCTGTAAATGATAGCTAATAGAGTAATTAGATTAAGTAGTTATCATTAGATCTTAGGAACTATAAATCTCACATAGAGGATGTCCATCACAAGACCACATGTTTGTATTTTGCGGGGTATGCCTTTCTTGCCTATATGCATCTCTTTCTAGTGTTGATAGAAAGGTAGCACGATTAATAAGCGCTAAGATTTACGCACGCAAGAAATACGCCAAACATAACAGTCTGTTCCTGTTACTAATGGAGAAGTGCATCCCGTCTGCACGACAATAAACAACACAGACGACAGATGCTGACCCATATCTATATATACCAACAACTATATACTAAAATATTACACCATAGGGAAGGCACGATCAGGTAGGCCCTTGATCAGCGTATACTATCGCTACATAGACCAAAGTACTGATAAAATTAGGGCGCCAACCGTTTTCTTCTTTTCATTATTGCGGAAACATTCGTCGAACTGTTACCCATTCCTCTGAAGAGAGGTAGGCAATAGCTGTACGAGACTACTGGGCGGTGTATCGCTTTTTTAGTCTTAAATACAGGCTGGCTCAGTTTAACCGGAGCTTTCGGTTTTGAGCAGACACCCTCGGTGCAATAGCAATAAGACAAATGGAAAGGGCACAAACGACAACACGGTGGCATCTGAAGATCTTCGCGGGCATTAGCTTTGTTTGACCCGCCCAACATTTGGGTAAAAACCCCAGCGTAAATTTGGTTGGAGTGAAATTGATTATTTCACTGGTACGTGCGCAAATATAGATTACGTGCGTTCCATCTGTTGTCCAAACCTATTCGCGACTATTCAATCATCTGACAACCTTCGTAGCTCCTTAGGCCTAAGCGACGCTATTATCGTTGATATGAAATACGCTTATATCTAGTTTCGTTATATATGCACAACCTTGAAGCCATCAGAGATGCACGAAATTTTACGCTAGCTAGCTAGCTAGCTAGCGAAAACCTTTGCCTCTGCCGTACTGTGCACTGGCAAATTGTCGTCATTTTTATCGGGATTGAATTGGATCTAAAAATCGTTTACCTTTAACTTGGAATACCCTTAAATAAGTACTCCGTACGCTATCCTACACTGTCAAATCTATAGAAACGGATCCCGTGTGCTACACAGCTCTATACGTAACCCGAATGCATCGAATAAACTAAGCAACCGAACAGGAAAGATCTGGTTAGCCTTCTCCACAACAATATTAGATAAATTACAGATAGTAAAGGTCGTTAAGGCAGCTTTGCAAGAACTTTAGAAATAGTCATTTACCATCTTCTCCGGACCGCGCATTGACGGATTATCACCTTATCCGGTCGTCGGCAAATTAAATAGATGACAGTACATTTTGCGCTGGTTCGATGAGTTCCTATACATCAGACCTAAACACTTTTGGCAAGACGGAATATATGTAGAGATGGAAGGGGGTCGTAGAAACTAGAGAATAATAAGCAAACTGCTACAATTTATTTACAATGCAGCGCTTTTTTCAAAAAAAAAGAACAAATCCTGTCTTCGATGGCTAGCAACGATAAAACCTGAAATCGACGATACGGGTACTACGCAAAACTTCGATGCTGTACACCTACTCTCCTTAGGTTACAATGTAAACGTTTTCAAGCATAAGAGAACGTTCTCGTAAGTGCAAAGACATACCCCTTTACGAGTGCATTCTGTGTGCCGAGCTCATGGTTCACAAAGTAAAACAGTTTTTATTACATAATAAAAGTGATCTTAATTCCAAAAGTGCTGATTTTAACCAGTCGTACATTTCTGGCAAGTTAAAAAGAGCCTGCAGAAATCACCCGTTGACCTTCTTCGCATGACTCAGGCGCTGAAATTTGAAAACGCTAACTCACTAGACAACAATCTAATTCACAAACATCACAATAACCTTCCTATAAAAAATCTACATTTTTTTTTTATCAGATTCTACTAATTTATCTTAAAGTTTGACAACCGCTGCGACGACTATAGAAAGATTGCTACAGTTTGTGTTCGAAAAGCTACTTTTTTACAACTGGAATTAATTTGAATAGATCTATTTCGATTTGAACGTCAGACGTTGCATCAGCGCGACGCATTAAGTAGAACCAAGTGTGAAAAATTCACAATGAAATTGAACTCACCCTTCGAAGCCATGAAAAAAAACCCGCCATCTTGTTCCCGAAGTTTTTTCTTTTTTTCGATTTGCAAGCTCCCGCCGGCGCCAAAGCTTGAATAACCGTTAGTCCGTTATCAACATACTTACATATCGTTTTACCTACACGAAGACAAACGTGTTTATAGGACGGTGTGTATCGACTGTTGCAATTGAACCTTAGCGAAGTGGGCTTTAAGCAGTATTTAGAAGGCACTGACATATTTTATGGTCGGGTCTCTGTGCGGCAACGGCTTACCTCGCGCGCCCTTCTGAGGCAGAAACTTCGGCACGACATTTCGGCTGGACTTGGTACCTGAGCCACGCAAATGTGGCTTCATCAGCCACGTTCGGCATTCTCGGTTCGCCTATACAATAAGACATGATGATAACGTTACTGCAAAACAATGCTCTTTTGTTCCCGCAGACATCTATTACTCTAACCATACGTATCCGAAATTACGTATTACTTCAAGAAGCAAAAGCATATTAATATTTCTTGCCCAATCAGCCGGCTAGGAGGGGATCAGCCACGGATTCATTCGGTCTCTCATGTAGCGGCTAGCCGTTTCCTTTGCTCCATTTGCCACACACAAACGTTTAGTTTTCTTGGCTTTTAGTATTCCGCCAGCAAACGATCAGTCAGCAGAGCTTTCGCTGACATCGGCATATAGCAACAGATTTATTACCGTTTGTCAACAGCTGTAAGTTTCTCTAGTATGTTCTATTACAAGCAAGTATTTATGTGCGATATTAGGTAGCCACACTCAGTTCCCTGATTAGTACTATTATTATTATAAAATTTAACCATTTATTTGTTTTAGGTAACAGACGAGAAGTACAAGACAAGCGTGGCGTGATATAAAAATCAGCTTTCTTGTTGTAGCCATGAATGGTAACCTATACGCTAGGCTACCGATAACATGCCAAACAGGTAATAATGACCACTGGCTTATATGACAAGTAAGAACCCAATACAGTGATGTTCCATGTAACCTCTTTACGCGCTGTCGACGACAATCTTCTTTCAGGCGGCGTATACCTGTGAGTACCTCTGTTCCTTTTAACCATGTCCTGCGCGATTCTTTGTAGCGTTCGTCGCTCGCTAACAGAAGGCAAATCAAAGAAGTGGTTACAGTCGCTCTGGCATACAGAGATACTCGTTTCCACATTGGACGAGTCGCAAAACTTCACCAAAGGTTTCCGTCTTGAAGTACCGTTAGAGGCACCCAAGTTTTTCTTGTGCTTGCTTACTCCCGTCCTTTCTCTAAAATCGAAAACCCAGAGATATGATGAACTCGGAACTACCAATGGACAGCAAAACGATTCGGGCATTCTCTAGCACGGGCTGAGTAAAACGCATCTAAAAAACAGAGAAGCCAACTGCTCTATATAAAGTAGCACAACATCAATATTCAATCGTTTGTTTAAAATTGGCCACATAGTTACATTGTACGACGGCCTGTTTTTATGAGCGGTTTGTTCACGCGCTGCTATATCATAGTCCTACCTGAGTATGGAATGCTTTCGACTGTCGAACGCTATTATATCCGTTGCGGCTTCTGTGGAAGATGTCTCTGTCAGAAAGTGAACAGAGCTTTCGGGACGATTCAGGCGTCCACGTAAACTCAGTTCGGTTGAAGTTGTTACTGTTAGACAAGATGATGAGCAGCTAATCGAGCTCGGTCTATCTGGGCTTTCCCTCAACCTCGCTTGCCCATGCTCACCAAAGAAAAAATTTTTACAGGTACTGGCTACAGAGCGCACTGGCAAAATGCTAAGTAGACCTGACAGCCAACCGGTATCTCTTTGATTTGACTTGCTCGACATCGTTTACGCCAGTCTGTTACTGCAAAAAATCGCCAACACCTAATAAGGAAGAAAGTAAAGACAAATAACAGGTCGTGTTCCTATTTCCGTTTCGACTCTTGAGCTCCTCGGATCATCGTTAAAACGCTGGGGCAAAAATCTCGGATTTTCTCGGAAAATTTGGAAATCAAAAATGTAATATCGTATTAAGCCAGAGAACTATTGAGATTATTTTACCAATAATTTCGTTGTTTTATTGAAACGCAGTCTCTGTGTGCTGTATTCGCCCAGTTCGTCGTTCCTATTGCTAAAAGCCGTAAACCATGAGGTAGACGGCGGTTGTTCGCAGTTACCATGGTCGCGTGTTTCTGTACCTTGATTTTCTTATGCAGCAGCATAGTTTAGATTAATAATGCGAGTATCCATGAGTATGAGGCCATCGCTGACTACTATGATATACTGATACCATGCCTCTTCACTGATGTATCAAAAAAAAAGCTAGACAAGTCTAGGAAGACGCACAGCCCGGATAGGAAACCACCGGTGGAAAAAAACTTGTAACCGAAGGCCTCATTTCGGGGCTGACACTCCGCAATGTGAGGCTGCTTTTTGCGAATTCCGCCAAGAAACTGAAATAAGCCTAATTATACCGTAAACTTTTTACTGAATGACCCCCATGGTAATACCACACACTTCAAGTGCGGGTTAATATAATATACAGAAAGAGAAAGGTTATAGAGCAGCCATAAATTAAACATTAACAAAACTTAATTTTGAGAAATCAGCTTCTCTAAGGGTGAGCTCTGTGTGGATATTCAAATGTGGAATAGCAAAATTCGTAACGCTCGAAGTGAACCCTTAACCTTGACAAAAAATGATGCTTGAGAAATAATTTAGTATTTTAACGCCTTTCTGATTATGCCGTTGGAGTAGGTTTTTTTTTAAATGCCCGAATACAATGATCTAACGTCCTACAATCATATTACTTGTATTTACGAGACAGCAGCGTCTCTTACAGGATTCAACAACAGCAGATTCTTCTCTAACACTGATTTTTTATTTTATAATCATTATGTTTATTTAGCAAAGCTGACTTAGTTTACAGCCCTATTTTTTGGACTTGCAGCACCATGGCTGGAGAACACTGGTTTCGATTAACCTCTGCGGTTTCGATAAAGCAGGAACAAGTCCTTTAACTATAGATAACAAGTAAAATTAGCCTGTGATATTTGTGATTCTCACAATTTGTATGCACTTTTCCTACATATAGAATTATCAATATCAAATGATTTTATTTTAGTTATCTTGGAATTTTGTTTAGGCTACTGAGTTGACAGTATAGAAGTTCGTTGCTGAGGTGATGAACCCAAGCTCTCGTCAACACTTTGGAATCTTTGGAGCGTTTTTTGTTTTGTTTCAGAGTGGACTGAAGTTAAATAGCGTACTAGTTTAATTAAGAAGCAGAAAAATAGCAAACATACAAATTTTAGGCTATTATTGATTCGAGTTCCGCCAAGCGACAGCTGTGCAACGTATTTGCATTTTTTTGCATTATGAAGACCATGGAAAGCCTTTTGACCGGGCCCCTCGGCAGCTAGCAGATCGCCGTCTAAGTTTGCAGCTCTCCGGAACGACTTTTTATACAAGTAAGTCAGTCCCAATATAATATTAGACATTTTTCCCATAGAGAAATCATTCTTTTCCGTAAACGATAGCATTTCAATGTTTTGTAACCTCTACATGTCGTCTGTTGCACACAACTAGTCACCTATTACGTTAAAGGTCTAACTTTCCCTAACTTTTTTAACGTATTTGATGCGGCACCTCATTTTCGTATTGGATATGAATATACGTGTTCTTCTTATGAAGACACTAACCCGTTTATTTAGTTACGCGCGTCAACATTTCAGCAAGCCATATTTATTAACCACTTCCGTTGATAATGTATCGTAGATTAAAGATGCGTGTATCCATAAATTTGTGGGCGCGTGCCGAACACTGTGGATACATTGAATGAATGCAGCAAGGATTGTGTCATATTTGACAGCTCCGTTGAAGTTTCAGCACGGACTCCGCTGAAACTTCGCCCGTATGAAATCTGCCTTCATTATCACCAGGATGGTAATAACAGCATTGATCGTATTAAAAGTGTCAGGCGATGATTGCCGTGGTGACCGACTCGGTTTACGTCAGTGTGATAGTACGACCACGGGAATATCTTCGCAGAAGGGTCTCGGGCTAATGAATTTAACTAATGTCCTATGTATGTACAACAGGTTGATGCAGATATTATATTTGATAAACAGATTTGACAGGTTTCTTTAAATATGTCCATTATTCAAATGTTTTTTTTTTTTTTCGTAAACTTTATGATTTTTTATTTAGGTGTGAAACCGTATCAAAATTTGCCTGTATATGTCTTAAAAGAGGCATTTTAATGGCCTCGATTGAAAGAAGCCTCTATTATGTGAAAAATAAAAAAAATCTCCTTAAAAAATCCAATATTCCTTATTG